CCCTCTTTGTCCACTTGACCTTCGATCTCGCAGCCTCGAACATAAACGATCCCCAGTTGTGGTGCCATTGGTTCGTTTCTGTTCAAACTAAGTAAGTGGAAACAAAATGTGAAGGGAGAAGATTTTGAAGCTGTAAGCTAGAGAAATCAATATATGAATTCATACGCGTCTAAGAGTCATAATATTAGAAGCAAATAAAAAATAGAAACAAGTGATAGCTGAAAAGTGACACTGTAGGTAGTTATAGTATAAAGAAAATTATAAAAGGTTTGGAGAAGTCTGTAAATGACACATGTAAAGAAGATTTTAAAATGAGTGTTAGGGGGCCTACCGCCAGCCTTGCTGTTGTGTTGGGCGCACAGTGACCAAAAAGACAGGATCGTGGCGGCGAAGTCCCTCCCACTCGCGACGCACTTCTTCTCTGAGGCCAGTTAGTGCCACACGAATATCGGCGCGAACGCGAGCCGGATGTCCAGTGCCAAGGGCTGGCTTTGCAACCTCGACAATGACGAATGATTGTAAGGGGAGTGCCATGCGAGACCAACCATCAAAGACAGTTTGATTCAGCTCACCACGCCACGGCTTTAGGCGGGCGACGGAATCTTCGAGATCCTATGCAAAAGTGGATGCGTGTTGGGGATTTGAAAATAATTAATTGTAAAAACTAATTATCAACTAGTAAAATGCTCCGTTCAACCTTAGATGGATCTGCGACAATGGTCAAGAATGTCACTAGACTGAAAAGCAATTATATGCATAGATAAATAAATTGAAGCTACTTTAACAATGATAGTATAAACTATAACCTCACATCTGATACAAACGATTCACCATAAACATCAAAATAAATTGGCCTCAAATAAAAGGTAAGACCATGAAGGAATGGCCCTCTGTATGGTCTCCTTTCGTTGTATAGAAGTTGTTTGACCTTGGTTTCGCAACTTAGTCATATTAGCAGAAAGACCTAGAGGAACGCACCTTGTCCAGAGTTCTTAGTATGCATGATTATTTCAAGAGTCGGACCGTGGACTTAGTACATTCCTAGACGTTTCGCCGGCATCGTATTCGGCATCATCAATGAAGCTTGCCATTCTCAGAAAACCAAAAGGGCACATCTCATGAGAAATATAAGCATATCAGAAGTTGTGATGAGACAAGGGCGAGACTAGAGGGCAGGAAATGGATAGAGACCATGACAAAACGAGAGTGATAGCATTACAGTCTTGACAGAAAATTGGTCTAAGGATTCATTTCACTTGTCTCTTTGACGAGTTGTAGCTTGGTTGGCTGAGAATGGAAAGATTCACTGATGAAAGCGACTACGATGGCGGCCAAACAACTAAGAATATACCAAGTCGACGGTCCGACTTTGAAAATGATCATGCATACTATGGACTCCCGACAAGGTGCGTTTTTCTAGGTCTTCCTGCTAATATAATCAAGTTGCAAAACCAAGGTTAAACAATTTCTAGCCTCAAATAATTTTAATATAAAGTTAGTAGCAGGAAAAGCAGGTCTTAAATTAAAAGACAAATGGGTTAAATATGAAAGAAAATGGAAGGCAATAAGATACATAAAGTTATAATGATGGCCTATACAAATGCCTAGCAGTTGATGTAAGCCATGATACCACAGGCGCGGATAGAAAAACATCCTAAAATTTCTCAACTATGAAATATGCTATTAGCCATTCTAGGTGATGATTTAAGAAATAATACGAAAGTATAAAGATCAAGATTGTGTGGCCATTGGTATAATCGCGGTCTCAATTCACTGTATAAATTTGCTCGATCTTGTTTTCGCAAATTGGTCGTATTGTCAGGGGACCCAGAGGAGCGTACCTTGCTTGGAGTCTATAGTTTCCATGATAATTTTCAAAGCCGAACGGTGAAGTTGTTTCATTCCAAGACATTTCTCCGGCCTCATAGGTGAGCCTTGTAATTCTTAGCGCCACAATAGAGTTCGTAAAAAGAGATAAAGTTCCCTCTTTGTCCACTTGACCTTCGATCTAGCAGGGATTGATTTATTTTGTCTCTTTGACGAGTTGTAGCGTTGTGCTAAGAATGGCAAGGCTCACTTACGATACCGGCGAAACATTTGAGAATGTAGCAAGTCCAAGGTCCGACTCTGGAAATCATCATGCATATAATGAACTCTGGACAAGGTTCGTTCTTCTAGGTTGCCCTG